GACCACGAACAGAGCAAGGCAAGAGTGTATATAGAAAGCCGAAGCCCTAAATCGGGAAGCCCAAGGCACAGGGTTCGCAAAGCAACTGTGGCACGAGACCAGCGTCCGACCACTGCTTTGACTGAGCTCTGGCTGCATGGCCTCCGCCTCGTTCACCAGCAAGTAGGAGCCTCAATGTTTGGTGAGGGTAAGCATACTCACAACGAGGATGTTCGGCACAATTTGCGCAAGTGCAGGGAGCAGTGAATCTGCAGGTTGATGCACTCTCCCATGTAGCATCATGAGCAGTATCATGATCATTGCTAGTGTACGCCTCGTCATCTCCGTATGCCACTTGCTTTGACTAGAGCTATTTCACATGTTGCTGTACCATTTCACGCTAAGCACCATCGTCGTTTCCGTAAGTACTTTGCAGCAACACTATGAGTAAACCGGCCATCATCATCATCATCATGATCACCTTCAGCGCCATCATCAGGAGCTTGACGGTGTGTGGGGCTGGGGCTATGCGTGGATGCAAGAAGGAAGTGCAAACAAGCGAACAAAGCAGATAGATGGGTGGGTGCACATAGGTGTACCATCAGGGAAGATGCTGTCGCAGACACGTCAGGAGGAACCTCAGGGTTGTGCTGCAGCGTGGGGTGGCACCTTTTCGGCGTTCTGTCAAGCTTGGGGCCTACGCTTGTGACGGGCACTTGAGGCAGGGTCTCATGGCTCCAAGCCATCTTTGCCGAAGGCAGCATGCATGGAGCTTCTCTGAGCCGCATGTGGTCAGAAATCGAAGCTGCGGGTGCATGCGCGGTATCTGTCTTCAGGTAGATTTTTTCTTGTCTAGCAGCTACTAGCAAGGTCTTGCAACTCATCCGAGCCAATTGTTGCATCATTGGGCGGCTTTCTCGACAATAACGAAGCCCGTCTGAACTTGGCGCCCACAGGCAAGTCCTGGAGTGTGCAACATTCAACTTCTAATGCAGGCCTTTTTGCCGGTCAAGCAGTCAAGCGTTGCTTTGTCGGTGTGGAAGGGAAGGTTGGTCTGAATCAACATCTTGCGTTTAGGATCCTTGGCAGAGGGAGCATGTATACCAAGTAGCCCAAGGCCGCAGCTTGCGCAAATATGAAGCGCAGTTGATGTCGGCAGCCCTGAACCTGGCTCAAGCAACGAGCTTCGTGAGCTAGTCAAATCCAGCACTGTTCCCCCGCGATCCCATATCCATGGGTTCCAAAGTTGCCGGCCGCGCATTGCTGCTCCTCTTGTGCCTGGCCGTCGTCGATGCGGTTCGCCAAGCAAGCATGCACAACGATGAGATCGTCGGTGCTGCCATGGAGTATGAGAAGCAAGAGCATGCTGAGCGAATTGAGCATGAGCATCTTCAGCAAGGGCATGCTGACTCCAAGCTTGAATGGGGTAGCGGCTCGACAGGTTACGCGTGCAGCAACAATCGTGAGTGCAAGAGTATAGGTCCGTATTGCTACTGTTCCAACAGAAAGTGTCACTGCTAGAATTGCCACCATGGCGACGCAGCAGTTCGCTGCTCTGAGACAGATGTTCTCATGCTCGCAGCCCCTTCGCAACGATGCCAGCAGTTTGCTTCTATGAGTGAAAGGTGTCAATGCCACAGGTGTCTAGCTTTGCCATGAGGGTCGAAAGCTGAAGGTCTCGTTTCTCCTGGCCGTTGCTGCCTGATGCAATCTAATCTTTTCCAGCTCCAGTGTCTGCTGCGATCTAGGTTCAATTGCCGACCGTCCAACTCATGAGCCAACGGTGTAGATGAAGAGCCCTGTTACATCACTCGCTCGCAGCATGTCAGGGCCGAGAAGTGGAAGATGAAGGTTCAAGCTCAACTTGATGCTCTGGTACCCTAATTGTCGCGACAAGGAGCCTGCTGCATCCTAACTTCCTTAGCTGTCCTTGCGTTTGCAGCACACCCTTCACCGCTTGATTGCCATGTGTCAGCTCAGCTGCCGGCACCTTGCAGCACTTGGAGGTTCATGGGTAGTTATAAGTAGGGTTATAATGTAGGGCAACTATACTTATAACCCATATTAGGGGCCTTAAAACCCCACTTATAACTACCCCTGAACCTCCAAGCAGAGAGGTTGCACAAAGGGGGTTGCCGGGATGGCAAGGGCTGTGGCTGTGATGTCGGGGTTTCGACTTCGGGGTCCTGCGGATTTCGCTCGTGGGGGATCACAGGTATGTGGGCAGGGCTCGTTCTCTTCCAGGGGTTCTGCCAGACTGTGAAAGGAATTCTGGTGGTTCGAGTTTAGGCTGTTGCCTATGCGATGCTGTTCTGTGCCGCCCCGCTGCAGCCGTTTCACGCCTTTGCATCGTAGTGAGTGTTGGTCAGTCAACTCGGAAAACAGGTCCGCATGTTTGGAGGTCAATGCAAATTTAATCGCACGCAGCTCAGCTCGTTGCACTAGGGACTGTTTCTGCGCATTCTGTGCAGCGCCAGTTCTCGCAGACAGGTCGCCCAGCAATTATAGGGCTTCCGGATCCATGGAACACATTGGATCGGCGAGAACCAGCGAAGCACTGCGGCGTGTGATGATGACTGCCGGAAGGCCAGCCAACGACCAAGAAAGGACTTGCCATGATGCTGATGACATCGCATTACTGTTGCTGTATTTGTTGTGGATATTGCTGCCGTCATTGTTGTTCATGTTGTTGCAGTTGTTGCCATCTTTATACTTGTCATGGTTCTTCTCGCTATTCTTCTTCCGCCTGTTCTTGCTTTGGTTCTTCGTCTTGTTCTTGTTCCTGTTCCTGGCCCATTCGTTTCTTGTTCTTGTTCCTCTTATTGTTCTTGTTCTTGTTCTTGTTCTTGTTGTTAATCTACTTTGTTCTTGCTGGCCGCATCATCATGTTTTTCTGCTCCTGGTGTTGGGTTTGGTGCACCCGGGTGTTGCTGCCGATGGAGCGGTGGTGGTGATGTTGGCGAGAATCGTTGCCGACGAATGATGTCGCCCATGATGATGACTGTGGCACTTGCTGTCAATCATCCTATCGTTTAGGTCACTCCTCCGAGTTACCGCAGCCGCTTACTACTACGACAACGACTACGAGTACTGCTGCTACTGCTACTGCTACTACTACTACTACTACTACTACTACCACTACCACTACCACTACCACTACTACTACTCCTGCTCCTACTCCTACTCCTACTACTACTACTACTACTACCACTACTACTACTACTACTACTACTACTACTAGTACTAGTACTACGAGTACTAGTACTAGTACTAGTAGTAGTAGTAGTAGTAGTAGTAGTAGTAGTAGCAGCAGCAGTAGTAGTAGTAGTAGTAGTAGTAGTAGTAGTACTAGTACTAGTACTAGTACTAGTACTAGTACTAGTACACTAGTACACTAGTACACTAGTACACTAGTACACTAGTACACTAGTACACTAGTACACTAGTACTAGTACTAGTACTCCTACTCCTACTCCTACTACTCCTACTCCTACTCCTACTCCTACTACTCCTACTCCTACTCCTACTCCTACTCCTACTCCTACTGCTACTCCTACTGCTACTGCTACTGCTACTGCTACTGCTACTGCTACTGCTACTGCCACTGCCACTGCCACTGCCACTGCCACTGCTACTGCTACTGCTACTGCTACGACTGCTGTTACTGCTACTGCTGCTGCTACTACTGCTGCTACTGCTGCTGCTGCTGCTACTACTCCTGCTGCTGCTGCGACTGCTGCTCCTGCTACTGCTGCTACGATCACGAAGCCGACAGCGACTGCGGTCACGACCACGACCACGGCTTCTTCCGAACATTTGTGATTCCGATGCTTGATGCATCCGGTGCTTCTCCACGTCAGGTTCTGGTCGGCGTGCTTCCCGGAGATCGGAGTGCTGCAGCGATTGCTAACATGGGAGAAAGGCGCGATGCCGGCCATCTTGACCAAGGAGCAGAACCGACGATGTCTCAAAGCACCCCGTGTAAAACGGGTTTACGACGGCCACCTCCTGCATCAGCTTACATTATCAAATTCCATCGCACCACGCACTGAACTCACGCAGACATCAACTGTTGCAGTCTTTGTCACTGCCTGGAGGTCCACCACAACCACAGCATCTCGAACCGCTCGCTCCTTTCAACAGTCTCGTCTTCGACAAGTTTGTAAGCGAGGGCCACCCGGCGGAGAGAAGCAACGACTTACAACTTGGGAGTGCACACTGTAATGTGTTTGCCGCATCGTCCGAGTCAGCCGCGAGAGACCTGTGATCTAAGCGAGGTTCCTTTGGGCAAATCTTCGGTGGCACTTGGTGCGGTCGCAGAGTGGCCATCAAGGTGGAGAGTTGCAACTATAAGGTTAAGATGCCCGCGGTCTCAGAGACAGAAGCTTATTGCAGATGCCTCTTTGCCGCCTGCAGCTAGTTCAGGTTGAGACCCGGCATGTCCACGTGTCCATGGGTACCAAGAACCAGACTCAATGTGCGGCGGTTAGCACCAAAAGTGTTGCTCGCCAGTCAGATGCCATGTGCGACTCACTGGATCCATGTGCAGGTGTTGCGCAGTGAGAGCAGTGGTTTGGAGGAGGCGACTTTGATGAAGCATCTCGTCTGCAGCGCTGGGTGAAGCTGAAGCAAGAAGGAGTTGTGTGAACGTCGCGGGGCAACCACAAAGTGGCCCACATCATAAAGCATTACAAGACATGCCCATTCCAGTCAAACTATCATGCCCTGTCTTCTCCTTGCTTGGGTCACTTGGCCCCAGTCTCATATTCGCAGTCGCACGCACACATGCGCGCACACACACAAACACACGCGGACATGCGCGCATGTACACTGAACATGGAGCGTGGGCTTGTCTGCTGGTCTTTTGATCGGCAGACTCGAGGTCGTTATGTCACCCCAACGTGGTCGAGGCAATTTTCTTCGCGGAGGCCGTGCGCGATGTCTTACATCAAGTTGCAAGTCAAAAGGGGAACGACTAGTTGATTTTTGCCGACCAGGTGGCAGATGATTTGATAGGCAAGCAAATTTGGTTGGTGCAGGCCGGGCCAGAGTGGGTGCTGAGCCAGTCAACGTACGTTTTTTTTTCGCCAGCCGGCTGACCTGCCGCCCGGATGCCTTTTTGGGGTCTGTTCTGGTTGTTGCTGTTTCGAAGTTTTGGTCTACAACTTGCAGTTTACTCGAGTTTTGTTTGTTCGTTCTCGCTGTTCTGTTGATGTTGCTGCGTTGCGACTTTGCTCTTTTGCGGACCGAAACTCGAGGTTTTGCTGTTTGTTAGCGCGTTTTATGCTGGAAGGTCCGTTTCGACTGCATTTTGACTGTCCTTTCGCAGACTTTCGTCGTCTCGGAGAGCGTCCATGGACGAAGCATGATAACGTCCACTCAAACCCCATCCGTTCACACAGAGCATCCATGGGCCAGCCATGATAACGTCCAGATCAGACTCCATCCACTCGCGCAGAGCGTCCATGTGCCAACCATAACGTCCAGATCAGACTCCATCCACTCCCGCAGAGTATCCATGTGCCAACCATGATTACGTCCAGATCAGACTCCACCCATCCCCGCAGAACATCCATGTGCCAACCGTGATAACGTCCAGATCAGATTCCATCCATTTGCGGAGAGCATCCATGTGCCAACCATGATAACGTCCAGATCAGACTCCATCTATTCGCGCAGAGCATCCATGTGCCAGATGATAACGTCCAGATCAGACTCCATCCATTCCGGCAAAGCATCCATATGCCAATCCATGATAACGCCCGGATCAGACTCCATCCCGCAGAGCATCCATGTGCCAACCATAGCACAGCGTCAAAACACAGTGCCTCTTCCACTCTTGCTTGCATTTTTCAGATGTGGTGGAGTTTTTTTATCTAACTTCGCTAACCCGCCGAAACAGCCCTTAGGAGCCAAGATGCGGTAAGTTACACTACTTTTGGGTCTTGGGAATGTGCCAAAACGCAAGGCTGCAGGTCAGCCGGTTACCTTGTTTTGCCAGGAGTTTTGCGATTATGGCACATGGGGCAGCCATTGCATTTCGCCTCGCAATGCCTGGGCGGGCCTGTGCGAGGCCTTTGTGTTCTAATTATGTGAAGGCTTGTCCCTTGCGCCCGCAGAAGTAACATGAAGTGACTACATTGCACTTTGGAGGCACTCGATATGTGCGCGGAGGTCTGCTCAGCATGCAAGTGGCTGTATCTTGGCCGCAAGCGCGCTGGGGCCTGGATAGGTTGGTGGCAAGCTCGGAGGCCATCTAGTTTAGCCAATAGGGGACATTCCACAGACATTTGGCGTCTGGAAAAGGAACGCCTCTGGCGTCGTCTGCCACGGCTCCACGACGCGTCACTCACAGCAACATCATCGATTGCTCATGCCAGTGACACAGGCATTGCTTGCAACTGGTGCTCCGGCCGCTGCGCTGTCCGTGGCTCGCTGCAAGCACGATGCTCTGCAGGTTCACCTTGCAAACAATCCTGCTCGACTTGTTGCAGCCATGTCCCATCATTGCATTGTCGCAGCGGCATGTTTGTGCGGATGCCTGGCGACGCCACTTCCAGCGCCCACGAAAGCTTGGCCCGCACAGCCCTCACGTGCAGGGACGCTACCCCTCGGTGCTTCACCCGGGCTTCGGACCACTTGCCATTTTTTCTTTTTTTACTGACACCTTTTTCCGGCTGCGGACGGTCGGAGCGCCCCATCCTACGTGACTCCTTCAACTCGTGAAGCGGGCACCAAGATACAGCTGCAACATAGGCTGGGTGGACATGCGTGAGTGACGCCAAAATACACGCCACTCCGGCGAAGCATTCCGACACCGTCGCATTGTAAAATTTCAAGCTACGATAGTCCCACCGTTTCACGTCCATGGCCCGTCCCCCTGTATTCGTTAAAGAGTCTTGAGTGTTGGCTGCGTTGCCCAACGGTGCCATCGCCAAAGTGTTGGTTTTCGGTTGGTCGAGAGGAAGCAACGCGCTACCAGAGTCAAGGCTTCTGCACGCACAACAAATCCGCATGAACACGATTGCAGCATGCCGGATAGCCCATGGAAGGCACGATGTTCAACAAGCAGCGACGCTGGCGCACATCGCCGCAGGACCGCGCAACCGCAGTACGGGCAGCATGGGCAGGCCAATACATGGCACGAGCGACGTGCTCCGCACACTGAAGCCCAAGTCTGCCCAGGCCTGCCGGCAATAGTGCGAGGCGCCGTGCAGCAGCGGCATGCGGCGAGGTCGAGATCTTGGTCGCCAAATTCGCCCAAGGAGATCGCACAAGTACTGCCGCCAGACTGCATCGTCATGGCGGAGCGCACATGCCGAGAGGTGGGGAGGCAAACTGTGCAGCAAGTGATCTGCATGCAGGGCAACGCACATGGCAAGAATGAGCCATTGATCCCGCTGACGTATTCTGGCAGAGGTTATGAAAGAAGAGGCGGTGCCACCAACCCACTCCTTGTTCGTCGAGGTGACGACGTTGAACACTTCCGCCACGCAGCCGGTGTGGTCACGACGTGAGCGTCGTCCAGGAAAGCGGGCCAAGCACTGACCCGGGTCCAAGAGCTGGTCAGCCACAAGAAAACATCGTGAGCCGGCCAACACGCTTCCACCCCAAGCAATGCCGCTGGCACTGCGCCGTCGCCTGCGCCTCCCATTGCTCCTTTGTGCCAACCGTTGTGGCCCGCCCGGGTGCGGAGGCAAGGTGGATGCTTACGGCGACCATGCCTTGGCCTGCCCTCGCACCGGTCTATTGGCTCGCAGGGCAAAGATTGTGGAACGGGCATGGGTGCGTGTGGCTCGGGAAGCCGTCGGCCCGGACGGACAAGTGGTCCCCCAGCAGTGGCTAGCGCACACAACGGCACCCAACGTCCGCTCCGACGACCGGCGCCGCCTGGACCTCGTCATCTACGGCGCGACGCCTCTTGGCGGGGCTCTTTGCTGCGACGCGACGCTGGTTTCGCCGCTGTCGCGCACGGGCTTGCCGCAGCCTTGTGCGGGCGGCCCGCAACAGCTCGTCGTGTTGGGGAGCGAGGTTGGGTGGGGGACGCTGGAATGCCGGTGCGCAGCAGCTGCTCCGGGATCTGGTCCGCATCCATGCCCAACGAGCTCCACCTGCCATGCGACGTGCTGCATCGACGGCATGGGCCAGGCGTTGGTGGGCCATACTGGCAGTGTCGGTCCAACAGGCCGTCACAAGCACGGCGCTTGGGTCAGCTTGGCCCGCACCGCTCCACGCGAGCCAACCATCGGCCCCGTGCCTGGAGTGGAGAGGGGTTTCCTCGGCCTGGGCACCCCCATCGGCCACCCAGCTTACGTTGCGTCGCTCACTGACGCACGCTTGCGGGAAGAGGCACAGCTGCTGCAGGAACTCCTTCTGCTGCCCGACTTGCAATGTGTGTGTGGCTTATTTTTGCCATGTGTGCTGCCGCGCGTGCCGATCGCCTCGGAGGACTCGGCCTCCTATGCGCGGAGCGCGTCGCTCCTACGCGCCGACGCTCTGCCTGTACTGCGGCAGCGCCGTCCAGAGGCTGCTGCGCGCTTCTTGGCCGAGCTCGAAGCCGGGCCAGCGTCCTCCGCTGCCTGCTTGCGAGCTGCCACTGCAGCGCCCACCTGGCTGGGAGGGTCGGCCCGCTTGCATGGAGTGCTATCCACGACGGGCTGCGACCGGCCCTATGCGACCCGCCCGAGCCTGGCGAGCGGTGCCAGGGCTGGCAGCACCACGGTTCTCGCTTGTTCAACCCGTTTTCGCGGCTGCCGGCCCTCGAGCCGCCGGCCCAGGCACTGCTGCGTTCGCAGTCTGGGGTGCGCGCTGCCGCATGGCTTGGCGCTGTCCCCAGCGAAGCCGGGACATTGACATGCCGGAAGAATCGCCTTGCGGCGGCGGTTGCCCGTCGCGCAGGGCAGATGCGCGGCCCACGGACACGGTTGCGGCGCCACGGTCAAAGTTTACGGCGATCATTATGCTGCCTGTCCCCGTATGGGCCGGCGCCCGCCGAGCTAAACCACTCGAGCACCGGGTCGTGCACGAAACAGTTGGGCCGGAGGGCCAGGTCGTGCTCCAACAGTGGCTCGCGCGGACGCCCGCCCCTGGCGTCGACCCGGACGATCGACGGCGCCTCGACTTCTTCGCTTACGGAGCTACGCAGCTCGGCGAGGCGCTGTGCTGCGACGTGACCGTGGTGTCGCCGCTCACACGCGACGGGCGCCCACAGCTACCAACTGCGATGGTGCTGCCCTCGCCGTTGCCGAACGCCGTAAGCGCACTGCCTACCCCGAGCTCCTCCGGCGAGGACCGCCAAGGCTTTGCATGCTCGCGTGCGAGACCAGGGGGCGCTGGAATGACGAATCGCTCCTCCTCATCGCGCAGCTCGTTCGCCTGCGCGCCCTGCGAGCCCCCGCTCCGCTTCGGGGAGCTGCCCAAGGGCTGGTGCAGGCGTTGGTGGGGCCTTTTAAGCGTGGCTGTGCAAAACGCGCTTTGCTGTCACTCTGGTTGGGTCACCGCCCATCCACGCCCCTATGTTTAGCGCGCAGGAGCCGCTTCTGCAAGACGTCCTGCACGACGTGTGCCCGCCTTTGCCCACCCGCCTGCCGGCGCTGAGCCGCTGTGGCCGTAGTCTGCGGGTGCACTGGGACCGCGTTGCCGACTCGCGGTGGGACGCTGCCTAGTATGCGACCCCGCCCCGTTGGCCGCAAGTTGCACAGGGACACGGCTGCGGTCAACAGCTGCGCGGAAAAAGATGCCGAGCATGTACGCTTTTCAATTCCGCAAATCTTCGACGACAATGAGTTCTGCGTGGTTCATTGCACCAGCGCTGCGGCCAAGGAGCCGCAAACACGCCCAACACCCTGGCAGCAGTCATTTTGTCGGAGTTTACTCGATCTTTGCAGGAGATGCCATGGCAGACGCGAACGATGCAGATTTGCAAAGTTGATGCGCTCTGGCTTATGTCGGGAGATGCGCAGCAGACGACAGGCTCGATTGCACGAAGTATTGGGTGAAGTTCGAGACTATAGAACAGGTGAGAATCGATTCGGCATATGCACAGATCTCATGAACATGACCCGCATCCACATGAGTTTGCTGAATATTTGGCCGGGATTTTCGCTGTGCTGTGGACGCGGGTGACTTCTCCTGCGCAAACCCGTCACAACGTACGCAGCCCGCGATTTCACTGCACGGCCCACCTCGCCTGAGCTCACGCTGCGCCGGCTCCGCCTGCCTCTCCCGCTGACTACAGCGAGATGCCGGTGTCGCCAGCCGCATGATGCCTTCGGCGATCACCTTGCTGCTTGCCCACGGTCTGGTGTGTTGCGCTCGCGTGGGGGCCCACTTGAGCGAGGAGTGTGCCGGGAGGCGGGCGGCATGCCCTGGTGCGTGATCTCAATGTGGTCCCTGTCCGCCAGGATGAGAAACGCATCGAAGTCATCGCGAACGGCCTGCCTTTGTGGGGCGGTGTGCAGCTTGCCGTTGACACCACATTGGTGTCGGCCCTCACTGCAGCTGGCATGCCGCGCCGAGACAGCGGCCGCACGGCTGAAGCCGCATTGCGTGTTGCTGAACGTGCCAAAGCTATCCTCTCAGTTTGCTGGGCGTCTGGAATGGTGACTCTTTAGGGTGAGGGCATCAAGGGTCTGAAGTGGGTTTAGAGGCATTTTAGACCCTTCCCGGCCTACCATTGTAGACCCCTTACCTGGGTGTCGGTGTTGATCTGGGCTGCAAGCTGCGAAGAAACATAGTAACTTCGCATACAAAGCATCAGACGAAACGACACATCGTGAGTGCACTCCCTTCTGTGACCTGTTCCCTGGGACTGGGGTGAGGAATGTGCAGGGATCCTTGTTTCATTATTCAGGGGGCCCACTGAGTTCTGGAACAATATCCTTGGGAATAGTTACATGATTTTACCTAGTGCTTGGGGGGCGGGCTTGAACATGGAAGCTTGCCGGTGATGCTATGCGGTAGCGAGCCATGTTAACGTGCGCGCGTGTCTCGTCGCATCTCATCGCCATCCGTCGCAGAAAGCAGGAAGCCATATGAGTAGCATGGTGCGTGGGACTGTACAGTCTTCGTTTACACCAATACAGCTGCAGATGCGGAGAGGGAGGGAGAGAGAGAAACTCCAACATAGCTGTGCGCAGCATATCTCAATATGGTGTGGTCCGCGCTTTGGGTTTCGCCTTTATTCTTTGCGCTTCCC